AAGGCACAGATTTCCCATCTGTTCTTCAGTCTCAGTCCTTTTTGCTGCAACATCACACTGAGAGCTGGTACAGATGATCCCCCTAAATCCCTCAAATCCTCTTCTAGACACAGTGAGTCCCCATTCTATATGCACTGCCTGTGTTTCTTGTTCTCCTGAACATCCCACTGCAAGGAGCAATATTCATCCTACGTTGCTGGAAGAGAGACAGGCCATGGTACAACTGCTCTGTCACTGATTACTGATTATCCCACCAGTCTTTCTGCAATCCCCAGCTCTTAACAGCAATTATATTAATTTTTTTCCCTCAGATGAGTGTTAGGGTTGATCAGTACTGGAATGAGCAGCTCTTCCTCTAGTTTCCAGTTAAGGAAACAGAGAATTTTATTTTGCCTGGAGCTATCTGCACCATTTCAGGCTAACTGGGAGTTGCACTGGTTATTCCTTCAGTGGGTCTGGATCATCCTACACCCTGTAAGGCTCTGACAAATTCCCTACAGCAGCCCCTCCACGGGAAGACCTCAAGGAGAGCCCATCTTTAACAGAAGAAGGGGAGGAAGCTGCTGGAAGCAATGACTTGGAAGGATATGGAAACTCCTGGACTTTGGCTCAGTTTAAGATCTTGTCCTCTTGCTTCTTGCTCTTCTGGAAAACTGGCACAGAGTTCCCTAAAACCAGCACAGTGGTGCCTCCAAGCCTCAGCAACTGGAGGCACAGCAGAAAGGAGGTAAGACAGGGCTGACAATGCCAGAGCTGACTGGGAAGCCCCACTTCCTTGAAATTATGCTGGGATTTGCAGAGTTATTTTCATGTGGGCTTAGAAGGGAACCTCAAACAACATTAAAGAAACCAAAATCCTGCAGTTTTGTTTTGGAAACACAGCATTTTTTTTTGAAAGCAAATCTGGCTTCCAAGATACCTGGCAGCTTTTGGATCAAAATAACAGAATTCCCAGGGGTCTCAGGGCTGCTCAGGGGATGGGCAGCTGCCAGGAGAGACCATGGCAGATGCCTCTGTTCACTACAAGAGGTACATGGAGACTTTTACTGATTGCTGGGTTTGTTACTTTATTATACAGATCCTCAGAATATGAGATTTTGAAGAAGACCAGTGGTAGAGATTTTGGGAGGGGAAGGAGGACTAATAGGAAAGGGAATAACCAATTTCATACCCTTCAGTGCATTTAGCCAGGCCCACCTGATGTTCTCATGATGCCAGCAGAGCACATAGGTGCAGACAAGGCTGGGAGTGAGACTGATATGGATGAACAATTCTTTCCAATGTGGTTTCTCCCTTGCATTCCTGCACTCATGGCCAGCTAGCCTGCACCACAGAAATATTCCCGTGTCTCCTTTTGCTGCTGAGGGTCTCTGAGACATGTTAGGTTCCAATCATTCAACACAACAGGAGCTGCACTGAGCACAAACCCAAAATCTGCTACCCCTCCTTCTGCTCCCCCACCCCATGGGCCCTCGCTGTGCACAAGCCCAGGGTATCCCAATGCTAATTTGGGGCTGGGGGCTGCTGCCAGGAGTAAATGTGACTGGCTAAGCAGGGACAGGAGCTCTACTGCTGAGAAAGCAGCTCCACATCAGCTTCTCCACATCAGAACTTAAAATCACAGCCATGCACAACTGTGCTGCTGCTGCTCAGCAATGAAGGAGCTGATGCATTCCCTGCTCCTGATGTGAAGATTGTACTCAAGGAGGGAAATGTTTTAAGGAAAGTGGAGGCTCAGCAGAGCTTTTGATTACAGATTTCAGTCCCTGAGTGATAACACAGTGAGGGTCCTGAAACAATTTGACACATGGAGGTTTTTAGACACAGGCTATAATCCTTCAGGGCTGATTTGAAACAAATCTTGGGGGTTTATTCTAAAATAGTGAACACATTGCACATCAGGGCACAGCAGGCATTAACATGTTAAAGCCTAGTCATCAAACACACCTTTCACTCATAAACACCTGAGAACTTTGCCATTTACCAGTCAGCCCACACCAGGATCCTTTTGAGATGCCTTTGAATGCCAGCCAAGGGACAAGGCTCCTTTTCATTGCTGTGAATCATGAAGGCATCCTTAGGCAATAGATCCTCCAACGATTTTAGTGCTCTTCAGGCTGGCCCTTTACAAGGTATCAAGCATCTTCCTTGTGCAACCTTTACCCTGTCCCATCCTGCCCAAGCTGGATGAGTAATGATAAAACCCAGCACAGAGGCCAGCCCCTGTTTGCTTGGATTCTCAACAAGACTGAGCCTGGGGAGAAGGGCCCCAGCACAGGTTCTGACCATGGTGTGAATTTGGAGGCTGCCAAGGCAAAGGCAGAGCCGTGGTTTGCAGCTCAGCTTGGTGGGAAGGAGATGGGCACCAGAAAAAAGGGAAAGGAGTGGCTGGAGGGTACATGGAGATGGGAGGGGAGAGAGGCACTGCTGCTCATTCCTAGGGCTACTGGCCCCTGAAGCACTGCCCTCACACCATGCAGGGCTGTCCTGGTTTGAGTTGTGGGGATGCTTCTTCCTCCTACACAGCCTGACCAAATGGCAGGAGGATTTCTCCTTCCCTGTGCTCTGTGGTGGAGTGAGGCATGGGAAGGTTGAGGATCTCAGGGAGCAACAGCCCAGGCACCCCCAGCAACACAGATTGCTCATGGCTTGGGCAGCCCTCTTGGAACTATGGGGCTGCTCCAGAGATCTTGGGGCCTTTTGCAAATTTTGTGGTAAGAGCAGAAATATGAGCAGTCACTGAAGTCCCCTGGTAATGGCTGCCATGGGTGGCTTACCCAAATGACAACTGCATTCAGGGGATGGAATTCCTGGGATGTATCCTGGAGTCTGGGCTCTTGTGACACACCAGCTGCCCAATCCATGGTGCCTGGCACTGTTCCTGTGCCACCCTGTTGTGACCTTCTGCCAAAGCAGAGCAGGTGGGGCAGGAGGGAAGGCACCTGGTGCCTTTCACAACTCCACATTTCCAACAAACTCTGCATTAAAATGCCTGAACCACAGCCCAGCCACAGTGTGGACACGGGTTCTGCACAGTCAGATCTGTTTGGGAGCTGCAGCTCCAGGGAGGACGTGGGACCGAGTTGAAAAGCAGGGCAGTGGTTCTGTAGATGGATGTGGCTATTTTTATAGTGCATGTGAGCTGGAGCTCTTTACATTTCCCTTCCAAATGGTGCCCTGCAGTGCCCATGGGACATCCCCCAGAGAAGCTGACCCTGCTGAACACAGGGCTCTGGTGGGCAGGTGGGAATAGGCAGAGCATGGTTTGTTCTGTGTGCTGGGAATGCTGTGCCAGCTTCCCTGAAGGAATGGCTTTCAGCCACTGTCTGTCCAAATGAGCACGCTCTTGCCTTGATTTGTCTGGAATTTGTCAAGGGAGCCAAAGCTCAGCATTGCTGAGAGAGAACATTTTTATTTTCATTTTGAAACATCATCACTTTCAGTTTTGTCTTATAAAAGTCTCCTTTGCCTTTTCCCTGACCTTGAGGTTGCATGTTGTGATAAGGCTGCATCCATCCTGTTACACTTTTACCTTTTAAAGGAATGTGTGCATCCAGTTTGCTGCTGGGGATGGCTCCTGTGTTGGGTTAAGTCCTGAATACACTGCAGGAATTGCTTGGGGAGGCTGTGGCCAAGTTTGTGTCCAGGGCTGTCCCACCAAGATGAGCATGCAGACAGCTGGGCACCAGTGCCTGGACACTGCATTCACACAGATGGGGCCTTTGTGTCCCTCTTTGGGACCAGGCACACTGCCACCATGCAAGGATCTTCTCTGGCAGCTCAGGGTCAAGGATTGGCCTTTGTAGAAATCCAAGAGAGAGTTTCTCACTTTCACTTCTCCATGGCTTTTATCTTCATAAATGAAAATAACTCAGACATAGAGGAAATAAATAGAAAAGTGGAGGTAGTGGGAGGAAAGGCAGCAGGGTTTAAAAAGAAACAGCAAAACATTGATAACAGTGTTGAAGTACCAGTTTAAGGTGAGGTTCCAGGTGAGAAATGCTCTGCACAGGCAGAACAATGTGTGTTCCTTGGGGAGGGAAGGGCTGTGAAGGAGATCAGTGTGGATAAAGGGGGGTCTTTTCAGCCCTGATCCAATGATGTGACCAAGCCCCCCCATTCACAGGCAACCTCCTTCAAGTCAGCTTCAATCCTCTGAGGAAAATTTTTCTGTGCCTCTTCAGTGTAGAAATGGTGCCATCCCCTGCCTAAACAACTTCAGACACCTTTTTTAATCATACCCTGTGTGGTGAGGGAGAGAACAAAAAAAACCACTGTTACAGTGCAGTACCAGATTCCTGAAGGGCTAAGGGGTCCAGGCAGGGTGGTCATTCTTCTGGGAGGAAATCCTAGAAGTGCAGGAGCATGCTGTCCCCATGTGACAGAAGATGAGCTGGTGGAGGAGAAGACTTGACCTGGCTGAAAAGATAGCTTTCTCTGGAAAAAAAAAAAAGAGTTTACCAGCTTTGGAAGAAGAGGCAGGCAACTCAAGAGGACTACAAGGAGGTTGTGGAGTTATGCAGGAAGAAAATTACAAGGGCCAAAGCCCAGCTAGAAATTATTCTGGCTACTGCTGTAACAAGACAATATAAAATGTTTCTATAAATATATTCACAACAAAAAGAGGGCTGAGGAGAATCTCTGTCCTTTATTGGATGCAGGGGACACATAGTGACAAAGGCCTTCTTTACCTCAATATTTAAGTCTTTTAAGACCAGCTGTTCTCCAGACAGCCAGGCCCCTGAGCTGGAAAACAGAGGTGAGGAGCAGAATGAAGCCCCCTAAATCCAAGGGGAAATGGTCAGTGACCTGCTACACTGCTTGGACAAACAGGAGCCTGTGGGGCTGGATGGGATCACTGCCCCTGGAGGTAGATGTGGCACTTGGAGACATGGTTTAGTGTTGGGCTTGGCTTAAAGGTTGGACTTGAGGACCTTAAGGGTTTTTTCCAACCTAAATCATTCTATGATTCTAGTTTTAGAGAACAAGCGGACTTTTTTTTTTTTTTTTTTTTTAGATAACAGGTAAAGCTGCAGCCCCTTTTGCCAGCCTGGATGCTGCTGTATAGGTAAAAATCTGTTTACATGATTTAAACTACTCAGGCGTTTGCCACCCTTGACAAACCTTCCTGATATCTCCATAGCAATCTGCTCTAGCTGGAAAGGTTGCACTTTTCCCTGACTATTCCAAGCCTGTGCTGTTCCATAAGAGTGCTTTTGGCTTGCATCACCAACCTCAATGTGTTCTCTATGAAACTCAATTTTTGACTCTGTGCGGTCACAGGAGACAAACACCAGTAAATTGAGTTGCAAGATAGGAAAAAAGCCAAGCAGATCGCACCTCTAGAGGCTTCCAGCATTATGCATGGGAAGAGATGCCACAAGCCTCTGTTCTGAGCTGTATTTTCTGCAGTGTGGTGGATGGCAGCTGCAGACTTAACCTGCTCAGTGCCCGAGGATGCACTGTGGCCAGCCGGGGTGCCTCCAGCGCTCCCGGGGATGCGGTGCCGCATGTGGGGATGCGGTGCTGCATGTGGGGATGCCGTGCCGCATGTGGGGATGCGATGCCGCATGTGGGGATGTGGTGCCGCACGTGGGGATGCGGTGCCGCATGTGGGGGTGCCATGCTGCATGTGGGGATGCAGTGCCGCATGTGGGGATGCCACGCCGCATCTGGGGATGTCATGCCGCACGTGGGGATGCGATGCCGCATGTGGGGATGCCATGCCGCATGTGGGGGTGCGATGCCACATGTGGGGGTGCGATGCTGCATGTGGGGATGCGATGCCACACGTGGGGATGTGGTGCCGCATGTGGGGATGCCATGCCGCATGTGGGGATGCCATGCTGCATGTGGGAAGGCAATTGGGGTGCCTGGGATGCTGCAGGCAGGAGGGCAGGGCTGCCGCAGCTGCTGTGCCGCGCTACTCCCGCGGCGATTGCATTTGGGATGGGCAGTGATGGAATGACTCCGTGCTCATCCTGGGCTGCCCCTCCGGAGCCAGCGGGGTGGGATGGGCATCAGTTAAAAAAGAATAAGGTCAGGCTGGGGAAGATGCCAGAGAGAACAGTGGATAGACAAAACCCGCGGGTCTCTGCAGGTTTTGGGCAGGTCGAAATTTCCGCAGGCAGAAAGCGGAGCCGCAGCCCGGCTGCCCCCGCCCATCCCGGCTAAGCCGGCAGCGCCGCGGCTTGCAGGGCCATCTGCTGACAGAGGGGTGCAGCACACGGAGGGATTTTCGTTTATTTCTGCTCTCTCCTGTAGGCTTTATTCAACTTTGTCCATGCAGTTGAGGTTTTGGGGGTTTTTTTTTTTTTGTTTTTTTGTTTGGTTTTTTTTGTTTTTTTGTTTGTTTTTTTTTTTTTTTTGCAATCCAGCCCATGGGCAGTACAGACGGTGCGCTCTGGCTCCTGCACACAATAATTGTTTTACTCTGCCAGCCTGATACCTCCTCTTCTCTATAAGAAATGTTCCAGCATTGCCCCATCTTTAGCTATGGATCTGTCATGCGAGACAAAGAAGGAAGAAGTGAAACATTTTTGGAAGTATCCTTGGAAGCAGGAGACAGATCCTTCCCTCCTCAAGCAGGAGCTCTGCTTGGAATCACAGCACTGTGAAATAATAGATAATGTGGACACAGGCCTGAAGTTGCTCATGGACACAGCAGCATCTGGAGCAAGAGGGACAGGCTGAGCAGAGCTGTGCTGAGGCCACAGGGCTGCAGTCCTTGAGTCACCAATGAGGCAGGAGCACATCTGCTCTAACAAAGTTTCTTTCCATGCCTTTCCTCGGGACAGTTTTTTATCTGCTGTAAATGTACAAAAGTCACAGCACTTTTATTTTGCATCAGATCATACGGATCGCTGCCTTCTCTCCAATAGCAGCACAAACAAACCTCTTCTGCCTGACCTGGGTCTGCAAAACAGATTGTGTGTTTATTCCATGACAATACCCACTTCTTTATTTGTGTGCAAACAGCAGGCTCCAGAAGGAGCATGATTCTCCTTTGCAAAGTGCTCTGTGCCTTTGGGGTAGAAACTCACCTTTCCTTCAAAGCTATAAACAGATGCTGTTATTCTTGGGTTTGCAGGGTGGATGCTTCACAGAAAGCAGAGCTTACAGCAGGCTAGAAAGAGCTTCTTTTTCAGAAAAATGTGGACATTAGGATGGAGTTTGAGAGGAACATAGATAGGTTTGGGTTGGAAGGAATCTTTTAAGATCACTTTATTCCAACCTCCCTGCCATTAAATTTTTCCTTAGATCAGGTTGCTCAAGCTGACCTTAGGGTGACTGTCTCTCTCATGACTCCTGTAGTTGGTGCTCATCTTGTCCCAGGTGAGCACCTGAGGGTGGCTCATCTCCCCTCCACTCCCACCCTGCCTCACACTGTTGGTTCCAGCTGTTTGTGATACCAACCCACTGCCTCTATCTTCATCTAAGAGCCCTTTGCCAGCAGGAGCTGGGCTTGCTTTTGCAGTTTGGAGGACCCCTGGTGATTCAGTTTGTGATACTTTGGCAGAGGTGAAATGAAATCAGAAATAAAGATGAAAAAAATTGTAACCAGGCTCAAAAAGTCAGACTAGCCATTCCCCTAGGTAAAACAGGGGTGGGGAAGAAGGAAGCTTTTAAAAGGAAGTGAGCTGAGTCTTTGTGCTATTTTTGGTTTGCCCAGAGTGGTACAGGGTGGAATTCTGCTGCTGGCTTATTAGAATATGCATCAAAGGTGAAACTGGATCATGGTACTGCTGACACAAAGACTCTCCCCATGGCACAGAGCGCACGTCTGGCCTCTTTTCCCTCAGCCTGGCTTTCATGCTGGCATATCTACACTTCTGTGGACAGGGGCTGAAATGCATTGAACAAATATTTCAGAATGCACAGAATGCTGATAGGAATGGGCAAGTTCTATGTATTGCATAAACAATAAACATGTTCATTCTCTCCCAAAAAAACAACCATGTGTGAAATAGCACGTTACAAAAAAAAACCCTTAACTTTGCCCATTATACTGAAATGCACTTCATTGTGTGTGTCATCAGTGCATTTCAAGACCAAAGTGTGAAAAATGCCATTTATGTATTTGTTAATTACTTATAACATTTTATTTGTTCGATTTCAATGATTTTTTTTATGACTCCATAGTAAGCCTGGGCTGAAACATTGTATTTGTGGAGTATTTTCATTAAGGCAGCTGTTCTGCTCTCTGCTCTGACCTGGGCCAGTCATCTTCATCTACTTCACACCAGCTTGGTCTGAATTGTGAATACAGACTTGTTTTCTCTTTTCATTTGACATCTTTCCCAGAGCTGCTGCATGTCAAAGACATCAGGTGACAAACACTTGGCAGGGCCACCTGCTTCCCTCCAGCCCAGCTGAGACCTCCCTGCACTCCCAGGAAAACACCTCTGAAATATTCCCAGGAGCATTGGAGGCTGGGTCACCACAGGCTGCTGTGGCATTTGCAGCCTCCTGTCTCTGCTTTGTCCCTGACAGAATGCAGTGGAGAGCACCCAGATCACATAAAGGTGGCATTGGTCAGTGTGGGAAGTACAGGACATCTCTTCAAACAACCTCCCACGCATTTGTTTGCAGCCAGTCCTGCTCAGCTTTCCTCTTAGATCCACATGGACAGGGAGCTTTCAGTTTTCCTGGCGAATTTCACTCAGTTTGCCTTGATTAGGTCGCAGCACTTCAAGACAACAATTAACAATATCAGATTCCTTTTGGCCTGACCCATTGCTCCCCACAAATCAGCTGGTGATGGCCAACACAGAGCTGTGCATGAGGGCCTTGACCAAAGTGGACGGCTCTGCGTGCTGGGAAAACTCAGGTTTGCAGTGCCAGCTGGAGGCAGGTTGTGGCAAGCACATTTCTTTCTCTCTCAGGATTTTTTCATAGAGCAGCACAGAGGAAAGAAAGAGAAAACAATTTCTATTTCTGCTCCTTGTTTTTTGCATGTGGAACAGGCTTGGAGAATTGTTTACCTGGGGTGATTGCTTGATTGGATTCTGGTGAGGATTGTTTAAGCCTGATGGCCAATCCAACCCACCTGTGTCTGGACTCTCAAGAGGTCGCAAGTCGTTGATTAGTTAGAATGGTAGTTAGAGAAAGTAGGTATGTAGTTTTAGTATCTTCCTTTATATAGTATATTAATGTATTATAGCATAATTATAATAAAGAAATCATTCAGCCTTCTGAAATGAAGTTGGACATCATCATTTCTTCCCATCGGGTTCACCTGCATTTTACAACAGCAGGTGAGTTTTGATAACGCACGGGTACATCATATGAGTAAAACCATCAAATTGATTAGGTTGGAAAAGGCTTTTAAGACCATTAAGCCCAACCTTTAATCCAGGGGTTGAGGGATGAACCTGTGTGGGAATCCAGGGCTTCCCTCTGGCTGCTCTGGAAGGTCTGGGACCCTGGCAGGGGTCAGGAACCCCCTTGTACAGAGCCCCGAGAGACACTGTCTGTGATCTCTGTCCATGGAGAGGAGTTTCAATCTTACAGGATGAATTACAAGCTTTGAGTGTTTGATAAGAGTAATAATTAAGTGTGACACGGGTGCAAAAGTAAAATTTTAGGTTTCTAGATTAGGGGTCCAAAGGGGACAAGATGGAGGAAATTGGGTGTGTTTTGTCCTTTTTCTCCTTCTTCATGCCCTCCATGTTTCACTGTAGTGTTGGCATTTTTCTATTGGTTTAGGCTGGGGACACACTGTTCAACGTAGATGATAGATATTGGCACGTTATTGTAAATATAGCACAGGTAGTTTCAGGTATATAATGTTTGTAACATCCCACTGAGGGCAGAGCCCCACACGCTGCCCTGCAGGACAGAGCTGCGGCAGGGCAGCAGAACATGTTATAGATAAACAGAATAAACAACCTTGAAAACAGCACAGACGAATTATGACTTCTTCTTTGGCAATGGGGCAGAAAGACAGAGACTTTTTACAATCTCGGAATCATCAATACCCACAGATTCCGACAAACCTGCTGCCCGTGGCCGCAGCAGGAGCACCATGGGGTGAAGATGGTCTCTCCTTATCTCTGAGGGTACCTTGCATGGCCAGAGTGTTTGTGGGCTGGCCACAACGCTCAGCACCCCAAAGGGCTCAGCACCTGCCTTGTGCAGAGCTCAAGCAGAAATCAGCTCTGGGGATGCTCTCCTGCTGGGCTCATGGTATTGACAGGCTGAGGGAGGATGAAAAAGGTGAAGGCTTCTTGTGGCTACCTCCCCTCCATGCTCAGGAGCTACAGTGAACCTTTGGGTAATAAATATCAATCCTTTCATCTTTCAAATAAATTTTTTTCAGGCAGCTTCTCCATCTAAAATCTTTTTTGAATGAGTGCCATGACCAAGACACCAAGGAAAAATATGGAGGTTTTTTTTGTCAAATGCTCCCTACCTCAGGGGACTTCTTGTGAGATCCTAAGTTTGACCTGGTTTTTTTTTTTGGTTTGTTTTTTTTTTTTTTTTTTTAATAATGTGGCATTGTCTAAGACAGTGATCAGACTGAACTTTGTGGACCAACCGCCTGTGGATGTGCAAAAATGGCCAAATGCCCTCTTAAGTGGGGTTGTGATCACATGGAAAGAATTTTTGGCATAAGGCTAATTCTGTGCCTCTAGTTTTGCTTGCAGAGTTTTCCCAATATTTACACCTAGGAAAGGATGCACAGAGAGTAACACATCCCTCTAGAGAGCAATGCAGGAAGGCAAATTATTCATGCATTTACTTAACACAGGTTCTTTCCTACATTGCAGTAACTTTAATATTCTGTCCTGGGGTGACTTTACAAGAAAAATATTTCCCACAACAAACTTCCTATTAAAAACATCAGGTTCTGTAAAAACTCCGTGCTTAATTAAGGGTTGCGTATGCCAGCATTAAATATGCTTTGTTAGATTATAGTTTAAAATGGTTTAATTTCAGAAATTATGTAATTAGTACAATTTAATCTTTGGCATGACTTCATTAAATCTTTATGAATAGGAAAAGTATTTTAAAATTAAAATAGAATTTTTAATGCTCTTTGGAGATTCATTGGCTTCCAGTTTTACTTGACTCTGTTATACCAGAACATATATATTAGAAAGAATATTTCACAATTCCATAAACTCGTAAAAGTGAATTTCTATGTATGATGTAAACATTACCATCAGCTGTCAATGTAGCCCCAGTCCTTCTGAACCACTGGCATATGTGGATGGTATGAATAATAAGTGCTTTTTTTTCACTAAAACAAAGAATTTTACCGGTGTGTTTTTTAAATGACAATACTATCCAATATATGGCTGAAGAACGATCTATAGACTTTTTGCAAAATATGACACATATATTTAGTAAAAAATTCCAAATTAAGAATGAGTCTTGTGAAATTTCACTTTGATCACTGAGGAAAACTAGGAAAAGGTTTTATAATTTTTTAAAAAATTATTTTCTTGAAATAGTTTTCTCCCCTTTTACATTATACAATAAAATAATGATTTTAAGCATGCTGCTGAAATGAACACAGATACACACCTGCCAACAGCTCCTGTGGTAACAGAGAGGGCTGAAATGCTGTTTTAATCTCCAACACTGACTAGTTTTTTTTTCCCTGTGGTCATACAGAGTCTTTAATTAGTTCTGTTTTCTTCAGCATATCATGCATTAGTTGTATAATTCCCCACTAATTTTTCTCCAGTACAGAGAGTGGCTTTCCCGAAATATACGTCTAGCATGGTTTTTCACACCTCCAAACTTCACCTTTCTGTATCTGCCTAAATTAGATCAGCTTTATTCTTCCCCTCTAGCAATTTTCCCAAAAAGGCTATTTCCTTTGTTTGTGGACAACCCAGTTTATTCTGAAAGAGTCATGTCCATTCCTTCTGCATAATTTCCCTGGCTCAGGAAGTTCTCAGTGCCAGGTGAGGAAACACTCTTTCCTCTCTGGGATGAATTTGAGGAGGGGCTGCACAGTGGGAATGGATCAAGCTTTGCTTGTGATTAACAGACCTGTAGGCTTGGAAAATGCTATAATTTTTATGTTCTGGGTCATCTTTGATTCTGAAAAGCACAGGAATTTATTTCTGCCAAGTGATGAAAAACTGGCAGCTAAAGGGTTAGCATGGACACCTCTGAGATGACAGAGCTGCCAAGCAGGGTAGCAGCGAATCCTGCAAGCAGAGATGAGGAATCACTTTTCTTGGCTCAGCCCACGCAGAGGTGCTGCAGACCCAGGAACAGAGCAGTTCACCCCCAAGCAGAGACAGACCACATATAGAGACCCAGCACCACAAGTTATTAGCTATTTTTAACAGGTTTTTTGTTTGGTTGGTTGTTTTGGTGGTTGTTGTTGTTGGTTTTAGGTCTTTTTGTTTGGTTGGGTTTTTTTGCTGTGAAACATTAGAATACTTTCACTTTATCTTCTCCCATATTAATTTAGTAATGATGCATTCAAAAAGGAAAGGAAGTATCAACTGGTGTTCTTTAGCTCAAACAATATATTTCTTGTAAAACTTCACAAGCAATTCATATCTGATTAAAGTTGAGCAAAACACTTTTCCCCCCTAACTTCAGATCTGCCTTTCTATTATGCTTCTCATGAAGGAAAATGTTTGTTGTGAACAATAAAAGGAAAGTCCCACTTTCCTGTGAGTATCTGTAACATCAAACCTCAGGCTTTTATATAATGGGCTCCTATTCTCTCCCCGACTGAAGGGCAGCCTAAGTGAAACATTCTCAGAAAGATATGTGGAAAAAAATCCCCTAGAAACAACAAAAATTTTTTCCACAAACCAAACACTCAGACTTTGTCTTGTGCCAAATCTCTCTGCTTTGCTATTTACCTGATTGTCTGCCAACAAATACACAGATTATCCCAGAGCAAGACACAGGATCCCTTTTCCCTGTACCACAGCTTTCACAGGGAAAGTAGAGACCAAGGAGATGGAAAAAAAATAGAAGTAGAATTTCTTTGTAAAAGGCAAGAGGACAAAAATGTGCAATATAGATGTGAACAAGAATGACTCATTGGCTAAAAGGGAAGACGCAGCCATTTGTACCATCATTTAAAGATTACTTAAATCATGTTGTGAATGGGGGCACTGATGGGAACTCCCTCTGTGCCTCTTCAACTCACTGCACCATTTTGTCTCTTCCTGCCAGGCAGGAAGAAAGAACTTTACCTGCATTGCTGAGCTTGAGAGATCAGTTAATGATTGAAGAGGATTTTAAAGATGGGAAGTGTGCAGCAATAAAACTGGTAAATACCAGGTGGCTCAAGCTTTGCTCTCAGCTCACAAAGGCAATCAAGCATCTGGACTTTTACATTTTCGTTCATTTTGGAACAGGCTCAGTTTGTGCTTTGAATCGCGCTTAGAGAAATGTTGCAAAAAACTACAGTCAAAACTCTCAATTTCTGTTTAAATAAAAACATATTAAACAGTAGAAATAAGAAATATCAGAGAAAAACAGTATTATGGAAGTACTTCAGAACTGTCAAAATATTGTTTCCCGGCTAGTGCGGGAAACATTCAGAAAATACTCAGAAAATATTTGAGTTTGGGTTTATCCAACCTTTGCTAGAGCAGATGTTTAATCATACAGTTAGCTTTCAGGTGTTCAAACAGAATAAAATGTGCTTTCAGTGGTCAAATTGTTCCTCTCTTGCATGTCTATTTATAAAAATGAAAACAATATCATTGCAAAAAAATCTGTGGTATTTTAGTTAAAATGCATTTGCTTACTGTTATCTGTCAGAGAAAAGCTAAGCAACTGCCCTGTGTGACAGAAGTCCTGAATCAAACGGGTTTGGGCATGATGAATTCCTATGACTGCTATAACCATAGGGACAAATATGAAGAGCAAAATAAGATACAGCAAGGAAATTGAATTAAAAATAACATGAGGACATTCTCCAAAGATATGAAAGATAAGTTGGTCCAACATGTGATGGAAAAGGAGAAATAGTAATAGTGACAGGTTTAAGGCCTTTTTTTCTTCAGTAGTCACTTATAAAAAGGAAGTTTATATAAAATGGTTACATAGCTGTTGCAAGCAGGATGAGATGTTAGTGATCTTCCTTGAGAACAGTGTGGTGAGGACAGATGAGGTTCCAGGGCACTGGAAAAGAACAATCAGGGTGACTGTTTTCAGAAATGAAGGAAGGGAGCTGTATCAGAATTGTCACTAATCAGTCTGATTGCATTTCCTGAAAAAAGAACAGAACAGTGTTTGTAAAATGCAGGAAACATCTAATTAAGAAAAGTCAAAGAAGGATTATAGACAATCAGTAGGTTCTGCCAGTAAGATGCTGAAATATCCTTGCCAGTCTAGATAGCATTGACAAGGCTGCAGATGGAATACATGTCCTTGTTTTGGGAAAAACACTTCAGGAAAGATATAGCCAACTAATCAATTTCTAGAAACTTCTAGACATTTCTAGAAAAGAGAGCAGCTGGAGAAGATTTTAACAACCCTTAAACACAAGAAGACTCATGAAAAAAGGAAAATAATTGTTCTTTTTGTACACTGTGAAGGGAGATAGAATAATCAAATTACAGAAATTACACTTGCACTGATGTTTTTAAGTCCCAGGTGACTGAACTGTTCCAGCTTGCATTTGCTGCAGTAAATTCTGTCCTCTCTTGCTCTGCAAACCAGTCCTGCTCCAAAGTAAGTGATTTGTTTACATTAAATGCTCTCCTTTGTGGGAAGTTGATCTGGCAAAAATCATTGTTATACCTCAAACAGTGAGTCACTTAGCTTCCTCTGTAGCAGAACAAATGAAACACTTTTCATAATCAACCAAATAATCCCTGTGGATCATGAGTTCTGATTGTTGGAAATCATTGTAGACAATCATTATAAAATTTCCTTCCTGTGTACAAAGGCTCCTTCTGAATAATAAAGAGTGCAAGAGAACCAGGATAACCATATGGTGCTGCTCCTGGTCAAAGAGTATCTTCATATGATCTTTTTTCTTTGAACCTATGCACAAGAGGGTGGTAGATGGCAGAAACAGGGGCAGTAGTCTGGAAATCTGAAGATCTTTGCTTCCTTTCCACAGCAGGTTCCTAAGACAGACCTGCAAGGCAACAGACAGTTCAGGAGCAGAATTCACAAAGCCCAAATTCCATGTGGGCTGAATGGGGAAGTTTCCAGACCAATGTTGGGATGGTGACCACCAGCAGGATGTTCTCAAGGGTAGGGGCTTCCTGAAGGTCTGTCTTTGCTTTTTGCCAAATGTTGGCTTTACAGATTCATATAAAAATTCCAGCAGGCAATTCCCTAAGGGGCTCCAGCCCCAAATAAACACCTTCACCTCCCCAGTCAGAAAAAGGGCTGCATGCCATGGATGTTTATGGGTCCACAGGGGCCTTCCCTTAACAGAAGTTGAGACAATCCTGTTAATTAGAGTACAGTACAGTGGGGATTCAAAGCATTTCAGAAAAAACCTGCAGCTGTAATATAATGTCTTTCTCCTGGGGAAGAGATCTGGGCAGCGGGGTTCCTTCAAAAGGTAGGCATTGCTCCTGGCTGTGCATGTTACACAACTGGAGTGAACCAGGCCTGCCAAGAGTTGCCCTATTTCTAAATTCTAAGTAGCCCTTGGCTAAAAATTAAGTCCAGAGAGGTTTAATCCAGACCCGTGTTTACCGTAAAACATGTGAATAATCCTGGGATTCACATGTGCTGTGTTCCCTCTGAAAATGATAGAAGCTCCAAAGCAGGCTGTGTGCTTCAAATGTCCTCAGTGCTGGCGAGGCTCTTCATTTTTTAAGCATCAGAATTTTAACTGAGCTTGCTCTGGTATGGAGCCCCTGACAATTAATTTTAGGTTGTGCTCCTGTGAACAGAAATCTGCCATTCTGTTGCAGCATGTGTGCCGGGTAGATATGGGGCATATTATTGCTGTGGCCTGCTGCCATATCATCTTATTATTATCCCTTGAGAAGGAAACAATGTAGATTTATGCTTTGCTTGAGTTTTTTATTTTGGTTGTTTTTTTTTTCCTGCCTGGTTATTTTTAGTGCAAAATTGTTCCAAATTATGTCAAGGACAAGAGAGGTTGAACTAAAACCATGATCCAAAGTGCTGCTGTCTGTGAGGGATGTTTCTGTGAACAACAAAAGCCAGAAATATGTTCTATTGCACAACTCTAAAGAAATCTGTAGAAAGTGAAGTGCTGCCTCTGTTATCTCCAGACAGTCCCCATTCCAACCTGTCCTAGTGTGAAGAAGATAGTTGTCAATTTTAGCAACTGTAGGATCACATTCCCTGACGTGAAACAGCCACTTTCAAGAAAAAACATGTCTGTGTAAGGACATGAGCTAGCTGGCACAGTCCCTCCCCTTCCACTGCTTTTGAAGAATACACAATATTCAAACCCTGAAATCACTTGCAGGTTTACATCCTCTGCTCAAGACATTTAACATCTCCCTGGGCTATTTGCTTTCAGAGACAGACCCATGGTGTTTCCCAGAAATTAATTAACAAATTCACAGCCTCTTTTGCTGGCTTGGAAAACAGCAGCATGGATGAATGCTCTACGGATAAGGTTTTAATGTTGAGTTGTCAGAGGTACAGGTACCTGACAGCTCTTGAAGATTAATTATGGAGCACAGCTTTCTCTGTTCCTGTCTGCCTGCTCCAAAGAGACAACTGTGTTTCTTCCCTTTAATGAATGTGTGCTGTAATAACAGCTTGCAAATATTTTACCTCTGGAAGCAATTACTGAGTTTGTTTTAAAAGCTGAGCTAACACTGAAGACATGTTTACTCTCCAAGTAGACACCCTGAATTGGAGCTATTACATTTCTTGTTTCTATTTTTAAACCAGTGTTGTGAATTCAAGTTGCTTCACCTGCTACAACAAACACCCTAATTTGTTAATAAATTAGCAAAAGGGGAATTGAGGGAGAGGTTTCAAGAGCAAAACAACATGTTGGGAAATCACCTCAATTCCAAATTCAATTGGAAGTGTGTGGTGCTGCCAGACGTGGAAACCATAATGAGCTGTGTAATGCTCAAAGCCCCTCTGCTCCCCTCCCTCTGAGTGCTTCTCCATTCCCTGGTGCCTGCAGCTCCTGCTCAAGACCTTTTACACTTCCTGGGCTCTTTGCTTGCATCCATCACTTTCTATCTCCTGTGGGAAAACAGTGGCAGCAGCCAGGGGCAAAGCTGGGACATGCTGGCCCCCACTGGCACTTTCTAAATCTTTCTATAGCACTGTAAACCTTAATCTCAAACAATCTGTACAGATTAGGGCCAATCTCCGTTAGTCTTCTCTTAGGAGTAGACTCAGACAGGTTTTTTCCTCAATTAATAATTGCCACAGGCTCTTATGTCAGGGGTTACTGGTTTAGTGGAGACCACCTTTGGAAGTGACCCCTGGCAGGTGTCTGAGTCCCAAACAGAGTCAAATTCAAGGGAAGTTGTTATTTTCTGAATATGAGGGAGTTTAGGAAGATGCAAACTGGACAAGCGAAGTTATTTCCAATTTTTTTCTCTTATTTTTCCTTCCTTTCCGGGGGGGAAGCTTGCTGTCAAAATCCTTCTCTAGCAATTAGGATATGTAGGCAGAGTATCACACATCTTGTGTTCATGGCTCTCTGCATAAGAACTAATAACACACCTTTGAGAAGAAAAAGCAGCATTATATCCACAATGGGTGACATTGGATTTTGGGAAGTGGTATCCCATTTCCCCTCAAAAATACTGTGCTACAGCATCAGCGCAGTGTGGAAGGCATCAGAGCCACTTCCTGTCTGTCACCCAAGGTCAGGTTGAATGGGGCTTCCAGCAGCCTGATGTAGCTCAGGATGTCCCTGCTCATTGCAGGGGCCATGGATTTCAAAGCTCCCTTACAACCTAAACCCCTCTAAGATTTTATGATGCTGTTTCAACTCAGTACAGCCCTCTACCCCATCCTTCTTTTGCTCCTTCCTCTTGTACTCCCACTGATCCCTTTTGCTCCATTGCTTGTCTCCTTTTGGCATTTTGCTGAAGAGAGGGAAAAAGGACAAGAGATGGAAAATGGGGGTGCAGCTCCTCCTGTTCCTGGGAGCAGAAAGCCAGTGCAACACAGCCCTGGTTCTGTTTCCTTCCTCCACAGAGAAGTTTAGGATTCCATCAAAAGTAAAAGTACAAAACTGCCTCATTGTCCTAAAAAGTCATGTAAGAATCTGAAGTAATTGTTTTGCACAATCAAAGTTGATGAGAGGTCTTCCCATCAAATTCACAAGCAGCAGGACCAAGTCTGTACAATTAAAATGGGAACTCCAACATCAAAGGCAGGGAAAGAAAGGGCACAGCATGAGCTCATGGGATTGTTTACTATGTAACTGCGCTCTCCACATTTTTCAACCTTTTGCTTGGATCTCATTTTCCTTTGAACTCCTGGCAACGTGCATGTTTAGGCCCACTAAAATACATGATGTTTTCTAACAAACTACAATACAGATTAGATCAATTCTTTAATATCATGTTTTCCTCTTGAACACTGTAATGAACCACTTTATGCTTGCTTGGATATAAAATTAAGCCAGGCACTTTACCATTATTTCAGAATGTTCTGTATTCTAAACTGTCTAATTTTGCTGGGAATATGCCAGGGTTTTCTCATCCATAAAGGTGAACATAGCCCAGATCTAAACAGGGTGCACAGCTACTTTACTGTGAAAATACTGGGTGAGGTGGAAGCACACAACATTTTGATGGATATTAAAGAGAGGCCACAATCACAGGCACTTTTGCCCAGGGAAATGAAGAACATGGAGTATGCTGTTGAATCTGAATAAATAATTTCTTAAGGAAAAGCAGCTCAAGAAAATATTTTAAAGATCTGAAAATCCCAACAACAAGACCGCCACTGACAATGTGAACCATTTGCAGTTACTGCTCCAGCTACTCTCTGCCAGTGACTGTCTGCTATGGGCAAGTGTTTTCCTTGAGCACAGGGATAGTGTATGGTAACAGTCAGAGAGCTCTTCTATTCTGTAAGAAAAGATCTCTAAAGTATTGGGAAGTTTGTGATATCACAAGGTCTTTGCCATACTGGGAGACAGACCTTTATGGAATTTACAGGAAGTGCTTTTAGCAATTTTATGACTACAATTTCTATAAATATCTGCTGTAGAAAAAACACAAGGACAAAGGAAGCTTTCTCAGAAAAACAATAAACTGTCATAGGCTGACTACGCTTTGCAAAAACTATACTCAAAAGCTTTGGTTTATATTTTGAAGAAGTAACCTGCAGCCTTCTCATCCTCCTGGGCAAACCCCTGTTTTTCTAAAATCTGCCTATTGCTGGAATCCTCTTCTTCCATTAAGTCCTTTTGATTCTCTTCCTGGGCTGGACTAGTACTGTTTTCTTGTACTTCTTGGAATAATGTTTGATCCTGGGCAGAACTGTGGCCTGTGTCATTTCCCATGTTTGGGACTTTTGGAACAGGTTTTTGGGGACAGGTGTTTCACAATGCTTAATGCAGCTACAGCCTTTTTCCAACACCCAAGTAAACCATAAAAGTGCTGTTAGCTTTTCTATAATATTTCTGGAGGGCCCTGGATGGCAGCCATAAGGGCTGGCTTTATTATCTGTGAAGGACTGTTGTGAAGATTGGTTTGAGCCTCAGCCCAGACACCTGAGAAAATTTCCTTTCCCATCACACTTATGAATCACTGTGTTAAATATGACAGCAACTTGTTGGGGTGGAGAAGATTAAAAAATAGCATGTAATGACCAGGAGCACTTCTCTCAAAGTTAAGCAATAAACAAAGTAAAACGATTTGAAGTCTCCTTCTATAATTTCAAGGTTTGAGTCTCCAGTACTAACACCCCATGGGGCAGACCCTGAGCCCTGTCTCTCCTCCCAGGATAAAAAAAGCTGATTACTCAATTCTGAACAACCCTTCAGCCAACCCAAACTCCTTCTCTCTTCTGGCTCCTCTGGTAAGCAGCCCCTTTTTGACTATTATTCCTCTTCAATAATTTCCACCTCAAGACCCAATCTCCTCCTAACACCCTCCTTACTGTGATTCCTTCTCTCTCTTGTTTAATATGTACATTCATGCCCTAAAGCTAAAAGCTGTGAAAGATCAGACCAGTCACTCCAGGCCTGTTTTTGGCTAGGTGAATTGGCTCAGGTTTTTCTTGTGTTATAGTAATTGTGTAATTTCCTCCCCTTTCTCATGTCTTTTTACTTTATTTTTTTAACAGAAATTTTCTAAATATGAAGAACTTAATGAAAATCCAACATCTTCCAGATGGCTTCCTCAAACACAAAAATTAATCCATTTCCCTAGGTGAAAGGCTTTGGTCTCCAAGGCTCAGCTCAGACCTATCTGATACAAAGCTCTTGTGTGAGGTAAGCTTCCTCTCCAACACTTGTGCTCATTTCCTGGAGAAGGCCTTTGTTTCCCTGCTCTGTGTTTGCTGTGTGGGCTACAACTCCTTATCAGCCTTTTCCTCCCTCTGACCTCCTGTCTTTTCAGCTTCTCTGGTTTGCATCTGTGCCTGGAGCTCCTTTGCCTTCCCAGAGCACAGACTTTCTATTCTCCTGCTCTGGGATTGCCCCACTGCTGCTTGGATCAAGCTGTGCTCCCACGTGCAGACTGTCCGAAATTGGGACTAGAGGTTACTTTATGAAAGCCAGGTGACTTATAGAATTAGACAGTCAAAAATACAGGCAGTTATGACACATTTGTGACTGTTACAACCTCACTGGGGGAATGACTTGAGAAGGTTTTTAAGGCAGCAGGCAAATAGCTGGTGCTTCAAAGACAAGTATCATCCTGAAGCTTATTACAAAAATTATCAGCATCTCCTACAAATGGTAAGATGCACAGAATAGACCTCTGGATTAGATACCAACTCTTTTGTAAATGTTTTACAGAAAAAAATAAAAATGGATACATAATTTAAACAAAAATTAGTAGTGTATGTGGAGGTGAGAAGGACAAGGAGAAAAATGGTATGGGCAAAGTGAGATTAGGCTCTTGAAAAATCCCCAAATACACGTGAAAGGTGACAGAGCAGAGCAATGGGAGACTGAGGACTGCACAGGGCAGTGCTGTTGCACTGACAAAAATAAGTAAGTAGAAGGAATAAAAATCTCTTTTTCTAAGAAAAGAAGTCACAATGTAAAAATGACATAATGGCTCTTGTTTTTTTTCTCCCTCCCTCCCTGCAAATGCAGTGTAGGAGAATGTGATTACATCACATGCATCACATTTTCTGATGGAAGTTACAATGCTGTTACCAGATACTGCCATGACACTCATCCCACTATAACTTTCTTCAAGTACCTTGTAGAGCAAAACTCCAGAGTGTAGTAAATTAGGCATATTTTGTGTCTCTTTCTTGTCTTTGATAGGGGTGAAATTCAACCCTGTGCATATTTTATATGTCTCGTAATAACACCCACTCATTCCTTGCAGAAGAGGCATTCTATTGTCCTCCTGTGACACTTCCTTGGGATTGCAGCTGGAAGATGTGTCACTGGGACTTCCCTCTGTTCCCTTGCTCTGAACTAGACACTCGTGGCAGGTGTTATGCCTCACAGAAACAGATACTCTAGGTCACAGCTTGCACAAGGGGAGACAATTTAAGTGTCTGGCTTGGTTTGGCACCTATCACTGCTGCTCGAGCACAGGGGTTAATCAGCAGCTGTCAAACAGCCCTGTTCCAGCACTCCTTGGCTGGGTGGTAACTCAAAACTGTGGGATGACAGCCAAAGCTGAGAGAAGATTTCAGTTCTTGATTTCAGCCTTTTTTTTCCCTTTTATTTTTCCTTTTAGAGCAGGAGAGAGTTGTGGTTGTTACTGCAGGCCTGTGCCTCTACCTACCCCTTTAAGGATGCCCTTCTGGCAATCTGAAGACTGTCCTTCCTGGGAAAAAGAAACAGAAGGAAAGTGGGACTGTGATAACCCATTAATAAATCCAGTCTGATGAGAAGCAGCTGAGGGAGCTTGGGGTGTTGAGCCTGGAAAGAGGGAGGCTCAGGGGGGACCTTCTCACTCTCTACATCTCCCTGACAGAAGGTTGTAGTCAGGTGGGGAGTACTTTGTCCTCTCAAGTAGAAAGTGACAGGACTAAAGGAAATAGCCTCAGGTTGCACTGGGGAGGTTTAGACTGGATATTATGAAAAAAATCTTCCTAGAAAGATTGTCAAGCATTGGAACGGGCTGCCCAGGGGAGGGGTTGTGTCACCATCCCTGGGGATATTTAAAAGATGAGTGAGTGTGGCCCTTGCAGACATGGCTTAGTGGTTGTGTGAACTTGGCAGTGCTGGGTGAAGCGTTGGACTCGCTGATCGCAGAGGTCTTTTCCAACCTAAATAATTCCATCCTTCCATGCTAACTTCAGACTGCAGACTGCCCAGCTCGTTGAGATCTTTACCATGACTGCTGTCACCAGGACTCAGATTTGGCACTGTTAAACTTGCTCTGGCACCTGTGTACTGTGTTGGAGTTACTCCTGCATGTTTGGACATCAAAGGCTAAATGGGAACAGTGAAAGCCATGCTGTACATTGTAGCAGCCTATGAGGGTACACAGATGCCTGTGCCCTTTGTTTTCCATGGACTGGTAAGAACTTGACCCGTGTGCCCAGTACTTGTAAAAGATGAATAAAGAGCTGTATACATACAGCACACACAAACACACACAAACATACATTCTATATATGTGTATGTTAATACATGAACTTAAGGAACAATGTAAACCAAGGCCTTTTTCCTCCTACTAAAGCAAATCATTGAATAATAATCCATTACATAAAAGGAACATGCTTCATCTTGAGAACCATTAATGTCACTTTTCTCCAAACTCCTCTATGAATGGTGTTCCAGAATATCATGGCAGTGCTCTGCCATAATGTCTCTTTCTAATTTCCAGTTAAAGCACATCCACCACCATTTTGTGCCTATTGATGCTGAGCAGTGCTGCTTGTAAGCTTTAGTCATGAGCTAAATATAACTGTGGATTGTCTGTACTGCATTGCTGATTTTATTTGAAAGGAAGACAGATTTAGCAGAACCTAAAGTCAAAACTAACACAGAGATGCTGCAAAAGGAATTTGTATGATGGCATTTGCTTTATCCAACTTCAGTCATCAAGTCTAAGGTGGTTGTGTGTTTTCCCTTCACAACTATCAGAAAGCTGCTGGCACATCTCCAGGGTTTTTATCACTCAGGCACTTATTTGAGGATCTGATGAACTGTTTCCCATCAGTGCCTGCTTCTTCCTTTCCACAGATTGTCAGGTGAATCTGCATCAGCAGGGTAGCTGAAGCATGCACCTAAAAGCAGATGAAATGAGCCTCTCCTCACTGTTTATGTTAAAATCCAAAAGAATATTCCAGTCAATGGCACTTAGATTTTTCGCTCATTGAGAAGAAAAGGGTTCACAGAGAAGTCACCTGGGATGTCAGAGAACTGTTTTAAAAGAACGAAACTCCCTAAATCTGGTCTTTATCAACATGTCATGAGACAAAAATAAACACTGAAAGAAAAACATGGAATGTTTAAACCATTTTTCTTTCCCCAGAAGCAAGTGGCTTTTAGAATATTCATTGCACAAATTGCTTTAATTACAAATTGGAACAAGAATAAGTTTTGGAATTCTGATTTCACATGACAAAGCTCTGATTGCAGAAACAGGAAATTTCCTTCCTTCAATAATGTGTTGCTCTCTGCCCTTATATCAGACCAATTCTATTTTCTAGGAGCTCACTGAAAAAGTACGATCCTTCAGCAGACCAGTGTGTTTAAACAAAACTATTGCTCTCCCTCTTGTTTGTGACAAAAGTTAGTGAGTGGAGACTGGGAGTTCCTGAATACAGCAGGAGCTCTGGAATAACTATTAACATGAATTCCTGAAAAAGAAGGAATTTGATGTGAAGGGCCAAAGCATAAGGACAAATTAGATAGAAGATATCCTGATTTTCCAGTCTGGGCTGGAAATAACACAGATGTAGAAGTGAAAAAGAATAGGAAACATTGTGTCTGTGAACTATTCTCTCAGTGTGTGTTTTTGGGAGAGTGTCAGCTAAAGAATTCAACTTCTGGTAAGATAAGTATGTGTTACCCATGCCCAAATTTGTGGGTAATCAACTCACAAATCCGCCGATGAGTTAGTTAAATGTTGCTTCCTTAGAAAAAACACTCAGGTTTGTGAATACCTTTGATGATACACTTTTGGCAACTCAGGGACTTGCTGGAGCACATTCCCCTTCTCTGTCACACATTCCCCTCTGCACCTTCTGATGAGCAAATGTAAATCCAAAAATGAAACAAACTATTCTGTATTAATTTCTTTGTGGTGTTTCCCTCTGCAAACAAAAAACTTGTAGTTCTTTGCACATATATCAGGAGAAGTAGCAATAATGTCAATTCACCATCCCACTTAGAATGGGAATTCAGAAATATTTTACTTGTCAGGTTAAAAATCCAATCTTCTGTTTGCGTCTCTAACTTCATTGGCTCTGAAAGCAGAACAGGAGCTACTTTTCCTCCTTCAGGCTGAGATTTTGGTAACAATTAAAGTGGGAACACAAAGTCAAAATTTACACTTGTAGACAATGACTGAAACAGAAAACTCATATTCTGCTGCTTTTGTGGGAGGGAATACACTGTGGCAAATTGAATAATCCCCAATACTTTAACTTCTTAGGAGGGAAAATGTAAGGCAGTCAGGTGCTTCTGAAGTGCTCACTCTGTTGTTTGGCTCAGTTTGTTGCCTCTCTAGAAAACCTGAAGTGTATTCTTGGCAGCAGGCATCAGTGCCCCGAGGGATAGGATATACAAGCCTGCAGGAATGTAGATAAACATCGAAGTTCTTACTCTGCATAACAACAACAAAAAATAATCAGTGAAAGCCTTCAAAGTGCTGCCAAGGGGCCCTTCTTCATAGTCACAAGTACCTTACTAAGAGGAGAGCTTATACTTCTAATTGAAAATATTTCATATTTAATAGATCCAATCATAATTCTGACTTTTTTTCTGACAACATAAAAAAAGAAATAATCAATATGGTTTTATTTTTCTGGGGCCAAGCAGGGAGAAATGTATGTTCTTTCTAGTACTGGGCAATATTTTCCTTGTAGTAATGTCTAATGGTTTTGTCAGTTGTTACTTACATAATAATTACTGTTACTTTTCAGAAAAAAAATGCAGAATATTATTTTGTATAATTTAGTAGCTTGCTGGGAATAATTATACACTTCACAGAAGCATCTACTGACTAGAAGCACATAGAGTTCAGTTGGTATAACTGAAGGTGATGGTGTGTAATTGTCAGGGGAAATAGTTTTATTATAGAATTTTCTAACAGTGGGTATTTGGTCAACTCTGGCAATTCCACAGATGTACAGAATGACTGCCCTTTGGGAGTGCTATTTATAAACTCAAAAGCGTCTGAACAGTACTCACAAAAAGGCTGCCAGTATCAAGAAAATTAATGACAATCTGACATTGTTGGAGGATGAAGAGAGAAGGGGCTTTGTGCTGAGATTCAGGCATGAAATGTTTTTGCACTGCTTTTTCTTGGCCTCTCTGTGGAAGTCTGGAGTATTGATGGGAGCACCCTGCTCATGGCATTGTCAGCCTCAGCAAATCAATACAGGAAAATGTAAACTTACAGGTAACCTCACATCCCTTTCTCCTGAAGGCTCCCCAGAGAAAAAGATATCCTTGCCTCCTGGAGCCTTCAGGGTGTGTCTTTACTTTACTCCCATTAAAAAATAATCCACAACAAAACCGCAAAACCCACCCCCCAAGACAAACCCAAAATAGTTCCCTAAGTGTTAGTAGTTTGTGCAGAGCTTCTGCACCTAATCCACCTTTTGGTGACAGACTGGTTTTACTTGGAATTTAAAAAATTCCAGTCAGACATAGTTCAACTACAGGTTCACACTGCTGTAAAGACTAACAATTCCCTGCTTTAACTTTTCCTGCCAGCTGTCGAAACTGAACTTACTGAGCACAACCATTAGATGAGCACCAGAACCAGCACAGGAGTGAGAGAGACAGAAAGAGAAGTTCAGTGTCAAAGACTGACACATTCCAGTTGCTGTGTCAGTGCCTCAGCTGGTGTTGGCAACCACAGCACAGCTTCCAGCACAAAGGGCTGTACAGGTATCAGTGACTGTCTTTGAATAAAAAAGCACTTTCAGTTGATACCATCATCCTGCCCGTGGCATAGAAATGCAGGTACATATATAACGTGTGCATTTACTGTGATACAAGTAATATGTATCAAATGTTTTAATAAAACTCACTGACTTTTGAGCAAACTTTTTATCTTCTGATCACTTCAAGTTGGGCTACATTGCTGTTACTGATGGAGTGAGGGGAAAATTATATTTCTAATGCTGTATGTTTTGTGTGAAGTCATCTCTGCAGAAAAAAAGGCTTTGTATACTGCTCACAGAGCAAGTGTGAGAACTCTTACAACAACAAGCAGCTTCCCGTTGCTTTTATTTTGGAAAGACAAAATGGCTGAAGGCCACAGCTGTTGATTTATTCAGATGCCGAAGGAAACCATTAGCCCATTGGACCCTGAAGATGAGATTCCTTTGTGCTAAATGTTAATATAAGGAAATCCCAAACAGGGGCTGCCAAAGGGACATAATACAAATGCAAAATGCCAAATGTACCTACAAAGGAAGGAGGTAGATGGTTGTTTATTAGAGAAGAGAAAAAAAATCCAGTGAAAAGCAGTTTGCTTTTTTTCTCCTTTTCTTAAATACAGTGTGATTTATAAACTGTGATATGAAAACTCTACTGTGTTCAAATCAAACAGAATATCTTTGAAACGCACAGGTGCACATATGGTTGTACCGTTAATGACTGCATATCCATGTGAACTGGTTTTTATCAGCATAATGCAGATGGAGCTTCTCCACACACTCCCTGCTGTTTGCAGTGTTGTTTTAATTAGTTGTAATAGCCCAGTATAAATGAATTGCATCCTCAGAAGAAAGGTCAAAGAAAAAATATAATAGCTGTCATCAGGGTAGGCAACTCCTCTTTCAGATTGCTGCTGTAATGGCCTCATGGCAGAAGCATGATTAATCATTGCCTGTACTTAGCCTGAATTTCACAAATATCTCCCTCTCCTCCAGCCCTTTTCTTTCAAGATTCAACAGTTGCCAGTATTTTATTTCATACCTGTGCAGGAGTGACATTTCTAATACTTCATTCAGAATTTAAAAATATTTAGTACAGGACAAGCTGTCATCTACAACAATGTTTGAATCAACATGGGGTCCTGTTTGAAGAATATATTTTTATGTCATAATGACACCACGGAATTGAAACTTATCCTGGCTCCCTGTCTTGCTCTCAGCCCAGTGAAATAGAGCTTTTGGCATGTGGCAAAGAAATGACGTGAGGAGAAGGAACAGTACTCACTAGTCAAGGCTGATTATAGCAAAGAGAATGTGATTGACTGAGGAGGTTGATAATAGTGGAGGAAATAGACCAAGAGTTGTTTAAACAAAGGACAGAGGAATTTGATTCCGCTGGCTGATGTTCCTCTACTTTTCCAACTAAGATTTTAACCAATACAAAACCAACCATGTTTGTGGCATTGTCACAACAGTTTCCAGTTAAATCAAATCAGGATAAACTTCCAGTGTCCATATAATTTCCCTCATTTTGCTTGCTTGCTTGCCAAATGAGTCAGTATACAACTATGGTTGGTATACAAAGTCATTTGCAGTTATTTGCAGACCACTTCTTATAGAGGTCTTACAGATCAGCATTGACCCACATTCCGTGGTTTGAAAAATATGGCACTAAGACTTGATTATTTCAGCAGCCTGAAAAATAGCCCCGCAAATTCCTTAGTATCACTGGCTGTATTCTAGTGATCCTTGCTGTGTCCAGCTGGTGACAGTTTTTTACCATGCTTTAGCAATCACCTGCAAGGCAGACTCTGACCAGTTGCTCTTGGCCTGGCTGGAGGGAGCTGTTCTGTACCCAAAGGGTCCAGCCCGTGACCCTGTGTAGCTGCTATGGAGTAGGAAGAACAGGAAAAACAAAGTTGGCTTTGCTTCTTTGAATAATGATAGAATCTGAGAATCATTAAAGTTGGTAAAGTCCCCCAAGATCATTGAGTCCAACCTTTGACTGGGAACCACCATGTCAGGTAAACCAAAGCACTGAGTGTCACATCCAGTCTTCCTTGAGGAGCTCCAGGGATGGTGACTCCACCACCTCCCTGTGGCTCCTTTCAGTGCCTGACAACCCTTTTACTGATGAAATTCTTCCTGATGTCAGTCTGAACATCCCCTGGCACAGCTTGAGGCCATTTCAGTTTGTTTTGTACATCTCCCACCTGACAACTCCTGTCAGGAGTTGTGCAGAGCCAGAAGGTCCCCCCTGAGCCTCCTTTTCTCCAGGCTGAGCCCCCCCAGCTCCCTCAGCTGCTCCTCCTCAGACCTGTGCTCCAGCCCCTTCCCCAGCTCCGTCCCCTTCTCTGGACATGCTCCATGTAACCACCTCCACAACAGGTAAAAAAAAATAGGTTCAATATTAGTATGTAATCTTCTTTTTCCCCTTGCTTGAAAATCTGCATTTTGATATAATTTTTAATTACAAAAAAAAAAACCTTCACTGTGGTTTTATATTTTCTGCCTTATTTTTTTTAATAAGAGTCCTGCCTCTTTCTGTGGAATAAACTGATTCACTCTTCACTGATTATGCAGTAAAGGGAAAAGTACTGTGTGCATTGAATGAATGCTTTCCCAATTTGTATGTTTTTAAATGAAATATATCTGCTGCTGCTTCAAACCAGCAGAGGGAGTTTGCTCCTCCAAATAATTTTTAAACTTCTCAACACAATCCAATTTTTTCAGTACTGTTACTACCTGGCAAGAACTGCTGCTGAAAAGAAAAGGTGAAATTTTACCATCCAGAGTGTTTAACTCCTTAGTGCTAGAGGCTGCTTGCTTCTAGTCAATTTTTATGGATATCATTGTGCAAGAAGTTGCTGCAATGACAAATGCATTAGAGAACTAAAAAAAAAAGAAAAATCAACTCAGCTGGAATGTTTGGGAGCAAACCATTTGGTTAAAGGGGAATGTACAATTATTGTAGTGCATGTGCCACTCAAAAGTGCATGAAACCACTGTGTGGTAACAGCTGACACACTTTTTTTTTTTGGGGGGGGGGCGGGGGGAAAGCCAGTTCCTTTATTTTTTGCACTCTGGAGAGAAGCTTTCAAAGTTCCTGGTTTTGGTTTCTTTATTTGGAAATACTGGGGTAATTTTAAGATGACCACAGTGGCAAAAAAGGTCAAGTGAAATGTTCACTAGGGAGTGAACAGTACTAGGGGAAGAGTCTCATTATAACTAGGGTTTTTTTTGTTTGTTTGTTTGTTTTTTGTATGTTTTTTAAAATTATTTTTATTTTTATGGAAGAAAAGGAATCAGCTCTAGTGGTGACAAATTGTATCATTCCTATCTTGTGTTATAAACCTGAATAGCAGGAACTATACAATGATCTCTCTTGTAAAATCTATAGCAGTTATTGATGTTAACAGTGGATATTATCTTTATCTGCAACAATGTCACAACTCTTCCTCTCTCAAGAGTAAGGTAGAAATTCAGATATTCCATTAAGCTCAATCATAAAACAGTTAAAATGCTAATCTTTCATTTTAAAAAGTTTCCTTGAACAAATTTGTGAGACAATTGTGTTATTTTTGGGAACTTAATTGGATTTGAAAATACTCTGAAACAAATACGACCTTTTATAATTCCATAGAGTCAGCATATCAATTCTCTATGCCTGGAACTGAAAGGAAGGTCAGAATAAAAAACAAGAGCCAGTGTTCCCTGTATATCTGTCCAAATACGAGTAAAAATATTTTCAAAGAACTGCATAAATACAAATTATTGACTAATATTCAAGGGAAAATGGCTCATTACAATTTTCTGCTTTTACTGAAGTGGAAAATGAGGAAGGAACTCATTTAAGGTGATGTAGAAGGCAATTTTTGGTAAATAAGCATTTAGCACATACCAGACATTGAGCATAGAGAAAAGAAATGAAGTAGTCACATGATTTAACAGTTGAGTGAAAATAGTCAATAGCCTGGCACAGATGTATCTTCTTTACATGTATTACAACTGCCAAACCATATGAGAATGCTAAATACAGGTCCTCACGCTGCTCTCAGTCACACATGAGCAGATCTTGCACTTTTGCAAACCTTAGTGCCCGTGAAGTCTTGTCAAACTCAGCAAAGCGTGGGGCAGACACAGCTGCCAGTGCCACACAGCTCACAGGGCACAGCCCAATTGACAGAAAACTGCTCAGGCTGCAGGGGATGGGTTCAGCAGCACTGCAGGCACTCACCCACTGAGAAAGAGACTTGGGCTCAGCAGCCACGGGGGTCCCTCAGGAGCCATCCCATTTCTGCCTCACTGGTACTGGAAAGAGGATGGAGGCTGAAGCACGGGACCAGCAGATGCTGGTGCATTATCATAGGAGCAGATGGACCTGGAATAAAACTCAGGTTTTGTACTCAGGCTGCTAAGAAGCTTTATGCTAGACCATAACTTCTTAAAGAGCTTTCAAGGCGTGTTGAAATAATACACAATTTCACAAAGACTGTATCTTACCTGTCCACAGCGTAAGAACCAAGAACCAGGGCTTTGCTCTCCAGCCTGTTCGAGGCTGAATGGAACATGAACATGAACATGAACATGAACATGAACATGAACATGAACATGAACATGAACTGGAACAAGATTTGGCCAGCTTCCAGAAAGAAGGCTACATGGAGCTCCCTCAATGCTCTCTAAACATGTACACTATCAACATTTTATTTCTCATCTCTTGTTCATGCAGAGTTTGTGGCAGAGTTTAAAAAAGTAAAAACTGCTACATCAGATAAAATTTATAATTCCTGTTATCCTTTATTCTTTTTTTTTTTAGCATGTAGCTTGACAAAGGAAGTGGAAAAAAGTGATACATTAGACAGATGAGGATAATTCATTCTCATGGAAGTTAGTTTCTGAATTTTTATTGGAAGAGATTTCAAACCCTAAGGCTGATGTTTCCTTTCTGTCCCAAACCTTCTCTTCTTATTAAGTACTATAAACCAGTGCAGGAGGGGTGTACTTTTATAAAAAATAAATTCTCCTTTTAAGGGTAGCACCATGGGGCCAATTATCAGCAAAACACTGCACCTGCTTCAAGGAAATTCTATGACTTGTACAGTCTCAGTTCTGCAGTTGAAAAAAATGGAAGCACCTGCCTCAAAGTATGGTGAAGTAGATAA